AAAGACTGACTGCTCAGGCACCCATACTTGTAGCTGAGCAGTCAACCAAAATCAGGTGTCAGCAATCTCTCCTGATTTGGGGGAGTGGCTAACCAGGGACCTGAGTCTAAGGCCTAGGGGCAGTCACACCTCCCCCCTTAAGATTGAGGTAGCACCTCAGATCCTGAAATAAAACAAGAACATTAGACACAACATTTTCTTCCAATTCATAAATCCGAGTAACACGTTTCAGAGCACATACAAACTGCATTATAAGCCTATCAAAAGTGATACTAGGCAAATAAGGAACTATGACAAAAAGTACATGAGGTGACTACCGAAATTTGCAAAAAATCCGCAATCATTACAGCCTAACCCCAGGAAAAACAACTACTGCTGCTTAGTGGACGAAACAGGGAATGCCTGTACGGCCAAGAATGGGACGAAGCGCCCCTTGTCTGCCCCATCTTACCCAAAGAGGTTACTGTAGCTCTCTTTCACATACTTCCGTGTGTTACAAATGTTGCACTCTGACCTTCTAGCCCAATTGACATTGCCACATGTTTTGCACTTCCAATCATTTACACTGAAGAGACCCCTGCTCTTCCCAGCCAGAGTTTTCCAACTATCTGTTCCTCCATCTTTCATCATCATCTGTGCCCTCATGGTTTTCTTCCTGCCACATCTGTAACAACTGCTTCTTCTAGCAAAGTTCATCATTCCACACTTATCCGGACAAAACCAATCCTCGCCTCTAACATGAAAACTCTTTTCTGCAATGTTTATTTTGTTACCCCTGAATGGCTTTGCATGATCTGGCCAAACACTACCACCTGCCAGGTCATTTCCCAAAATGATGTCCACTCCAGTTACGGGGAACTCTGAACGAACACCAACCTCCACTTCTCTCTGGACCAAATCACAGGACAGAAACAGTTTATGCTCAGGCACAGAAATGCTTTGCAGACCAATCCCTCTAACTGGAACACAGCACCCCATGTCTGAATCTGGAGAAAAAGGCAAGATGGCCTCCCTCACAAAGGTATTCAAAGCGCCTGAGTCCCTCAAAATCCTGACTTGAACTTTCTTCTCACTCCCAACTAGAGTTACAAAACTGTCAGACATAAACGAAGCATAACCCGACTCAACCTCTGAGATATCAATTGCCTTACCCTGCATTTGCAATGGAGCCAAGACTTCTGTTTCACGAACTCTGGGATTATGAATAGTTGTAGCCAAACCAACTGATATCACATGAAAATTGTTGCTTTTCCCCTCTAGCAAAGGACATTCTTTTTTCCAATGACCCTGTTGATGGCAATAATGACACATTTGCATTGCTTGTGCCATTAGGATGCTGTGCAAACTTTGGGGACAAAGATCCTGCTTTTTGAGATTCATTCCTTTCATAACGCTCACCAAAGATGCGCCTATGCGTCAACACATACTCATCAGCCAGTACTGCTGCCTCCCAAGGACATGTGACTTTATGTTCATTAATATAGGTTGCAATGTTCTCAGGGACCGACTGTTTCAACTGCTCCAGAATGATTAAATCACATAACTGATCAAAGGTTTTTACCCCAGAAGCAGAGTACCAGGCTTGAAATGCAAGATCAAATCCCATGCAAATTCCACATGTGTTTTGTTACCACTCTTTCGCCAGTCTCTAAAACGTTGGCGGTACGCTTCAGGCACCAACTCATAAGCCTTCAAAACAGACGATTTCACCGTATCATAATCTTTACAGGCGTCAGAAGATAAAGCGGAGTAGGCTTCTTGTGCTTTACCTGTAAACACACACTGCAACATTAAAGTTCTGTCCTCATCAGGCCAGCCCCTTGAATCAGCAACACGCTCAAACAGACAAAAAAAAGTCTCTATATCATTTTCATTAAACTTTGGCAACAGTAAATTACTTGCAACATCAAAGCGTGAACTTACAACTTCCTCATTCAATGCCGATGCAGACATTTTACCTGCCCTAATCAAAGCCCATTTTTGCAGTTCCAAATCCAGTTTCATTTGTTCCTTTTTGTATTTGATTTGTTCCACCTCTTTTTCAAGAATCAACAATTCTTTCTGTTGTTCAAATGTTAAGCCAGACACATAATTAGTGACAATGCTCTTACCTCCCCTGTCCATCAGTACCGCACAGTCTAGCAAATGAGCCTTTATAACACTTTTAAGGGTTTCCTTTGTTTGTTTGGAATCAACATCAACAGAGTAATAATGAGCAATCTTCACCAACTGCTCCTTTGTACATTGCTCCAACAACTCATCCGAGGGACACTGAACACAATCTTCCACAATGTTAGCCATATCAAACCACAAAAATCTAGCAACCTAGATAATCAAATTGAGGTAACATACACCAAACCTTTACACTATGCAACTAGTGGCAACAACAACAACTGGTGACTCCCCATGCTCAACTAACTAATTAGAGTAAGTCCCTTATCTGACTAAACTCGTACCTAGTCTTCGTACAGATACTTGTGGCGGGTATTTATTCACTGAAACCCAGTGGTACTGGAAAGCAACTGTATACACAGCGACCCCACAAGAAACCATGGACGTGATCCCGAGACAACTGCTCTGGCCACTTTCTCTGTCACACTAAACCCAACCCCCGACAACAGACTCTATTAGAACCTGCTGCTTGGCCTCACAGAGGAGAACACCAGTCACATGCAACACCAAACATTTAGCATATTTACCTCAAAGAAAACTGGCCCAAACTAGATTATAATAAAGCTCTCCAAAACAACTACATCCATGTGTGATACTCCAACCTAAATTAGCACAGAAAATAAATTCATACCAACAAAATGTATGTCAATTTTACTTTTGACGAGCCCCCATGTCACGCCCTAGTCCAAGGACGGACAAAGGAAGGAGACCACTCATGATTCATCCAATTGAAGTGCATTTATTTAAAGAAACTAAATTAACTATGAAGTCAGTTAATCAGTAATGTGTGGGTGTGTGAACATGCATCAGTATATAAAGAAAGCACAAACAAACCAAGGTCCAGTAGAGCCAAGCAACCCAAGAGGAGAGAAAGACTGACTGCTCAGGCACTCATACTTGTAGCTGAGCAGTCAACCAAAATCAGGTGTCAGCAATCTCTCCTGATTTGGGGGAGTGGCTAACCAGGGACCTGAGTCTAAGGCCTAGGGGCCTTCACAGATCGTATAGAGGCGATTACACGGAGCTGTTTGGCCCCCCCAGAGCGTTCTGTTTGCAGATCTATCCACCTTGGGACCCGTTATCGTTTGCAGGGTCCGTTTCTATCGTTTTGTTATGGCCTCGTGTACGCAAGAGAAACTATGCGGATACAACCCGTATCGTCCTTGTGTAAACGGGGTCTTAGTCTTGTCTTCCCCTGTGCTCCACGTCGGATCGTTGTCTTTCCTCACCCTCCATGTTTGTCATGTTCCAGGTTGGTTTTTGTCCTCATGCTACGTGTTTTGTCTTGTTTGCCATGTCAACAGCTTTTATTAATTAAAGCTCGCTTTAGTTTGAAACCCGCTTCTTCATAAACTGCATTGAGTCCTGATATTCCCCTTTCCTGACACATACATTACATTACATTGCATGTAGCTGACGCTTTTATCCAAAGCGACTTACAATAAGTGAATTCGACCAACAAGATACAAACTTGAAGAAAATAGAATCATATAAGTACATCAGGTTTCATAGAGCAAAAACATTTCAAGTGCTACTCAACTGGCTATAGATAAGCCAGTCCTTTGTTAGTAAGTGCTTTGTTAGTCATTTTATCGCGACTCAAGTGGAGTCGAAAGAGATGAGTTTTCAGTCTGCGCTGCTGTCCTGATGTCAATGGGGAGCTCATTCCACCATTTTAAATATGTTATCAAACTAACAAACTAAGTCTCTCCTGATTGAATTACATTTACCATCTTAGTCATAAACTCAACATTACTGATGATTATTTACTCCACGATATTTCCCACTTTAGTAAATGCTCTTTTGCATTGTGTCAAAAAAAGCTTTGTCAACTCAACACCTATAATGTGTCACCAAGTGTCTTTCTATGTACATTTAGGTACCCTTACATTGACAGTTTGATTATTCTTTATACATGAAATGTGTTGTATTCATACATACATTCATCTTCCAGCAAGGTTTCCAATTTACTGCACCCGATCACTATAATTGATTCTGACATGTAGTCTGCTCATTTACACAGAGCGACCCTGCATGTGGCATCCAGTATAGTGCTTCTCATAGAAAAAAACTCTGTAATTATAATCTTTTTATCTGACACATCGATGCCAGCATCAGCATGGAGAATAATGGTGATAATTGCAGATTTGAAATGCTAGAACATATTTTGTGTGTTTATATGTGCGCATATTTAACCTATGTTGTGAGGACATGAATTTGATAATACACTGACATTGTGGGGACTTCCTTACTTGCAGGACAAAATGCAAGTTACCACAACATAAATCATTAGGGTTTAGTGCCGGGTTAAGCAAAGTAGTGGATAAGGTTAGGGTTAGTCCGTTTGTGTGTTTATTTACTCATTTTGCATTAGCTCTGCATGTGTACTGTATGCAAAATGTGTATGTGGAGAAAAATGTATAATAATGTTAAAACAAGGTGGTCTGCAAATAAGGTAACGACAAAGTTTGTGCAAGAGTGCAAATTCACTTACATCCCTTTTGTAAATATGAACAGAATACATTTAAAAAACGTATTCTACAAACAAGCAACAATCAAGGGCAATAATCAAGGGCTACAACGTAAACATTAAGACATCGCTAAGCAACTGATATGTGTAACTTTGTCACCCTGGTCCCTGCTCCCCAACAGCATCCCCTTGCACAAATATATGGACATCATCATGCAAAGCCTAAATTAGTGAAAATTAAATGTATGACATGTTAATTTAGCACAAATCAAATGCTACAACTTTGGTAATTGTGGTTAATTAATCTCAACTTAATCTGCATGCTGGTTCCTTTACATACATTCAGTTGAGTGCAAACCTGTACTGTTTCCTGGTGTCGTATCTCCCTGCGTTTGTCTCTCGAATTTTAGTGGCCAAAACCCGTACGATGTTCACAAACAAGATTAAATTGAGCTGAAACAGAAGAACAGATATAGAAAGCTCTTCATTTATACAGCATATGTAAGTTTTCTTAAGTACTATAATCATAGGCGGATTTTGCGGGGGGGCAGGGGGGGCATTACCCCCTAGTGGCTGAAATATGTTACAGCATTACTACTTCTAAAACTGTTCCAATACAAATATTTCGTATATCAATATTTTTAATAGATGTAATATAATGATTGTTACAATACAAATCTGAATAATATCATGTTTTGTTTGAAATAATTTCATTTTTGAGCAGTCGCATGTTGTGACGTGTGTGTGTGTGATGTGTGTGTGACTGACGTATGAGGTTAAGAACACAAGTTCCCTCGCTTTTTTTACATACAAGTGATTCAGCTATTGTATTACAATAAGATATGCGGCGATTTTTAAAACGTCCAATTTCTGGGACGTTTAAGGCGTCTACTTCTGCACTAAGTAGGACACTGGTTAATAATATTGTAGCGTGTTCAAGTAACCAAGGGATATAGTAGTTATCACATAAGTAAGATGTGCACAGTTATGATAAGTTTTACAGATGTAATGCACTGTTGTTGGGGGGAGAGACCGCCCCTTCCATATGAATGTGTGTGTACGGCGGGCATAAGGCGTGCATGAGGCGTGCATGACGAGACGAGTTGTGTTCGTATGTGGAAAAGTCATACTCAGTGCGGTGAACGCTGGTTTTATTGCTTCTGTATCCGTAGCACCCCACGCAATAGTTGAGACTGTGTACTGACGTCAGTAAAAAAGGTTTGCCCCCCCAAGCGCAAATGTCAAACTCCGCCTATGACTATAACTGTTATTCTTGAAAACAAATAATTTGGTATTGTTAATATTAATTTAAGAACATCTACGTTTTCAATCGTAGATCCAAGCATACACAATATATGTATGATTCATTTCATATTCACAAAAACATTATATTACTATAATTGTACGATATTAGATACACAAACATCACACTACATTATCATAATGCTATCAACTTGTGAATAACATAGGTTCACATCTATTTTGGAGATTGTCCAATGATCACTTGTTTGTTAGTATCACGCGACTAGATTGACAACTAGATTAACATATCAATGATTTATATATTTACTTCTGCTTTATATTGCAGTAAAAATAACTATAACTATACTACGGTAAATAACTTTCTAAGAAATAATCACCTATTTTCAAGTCAATTCCAGTCTTAGATGGCTACACTTTGATTTTTGTGAACAATGGTAGCTAACAATCTTATGAGGTGGACCCACGCCCCGAAGTGACCTATTGTGGTTTTTTGTGGAGTCACTTACATTTTCCAAGTACCAAAAACAAACTATTTTATTTTAACAAACTTTATTGAGGCTGAATCAAAGTGATTTTCAATATGCAAATTGAGGCTTCCATTGGCCCCAGAATATATCTATCATAATTTCAATCCTTTGTTGGATGTGAGTATAGTATCAATTACAGCTTCCGATTAAACATGATGCCAGGAACAACAGAATCCAAACCAAAAATAGAATTATTTTATGAATTTGTCTACAATCTACGAAAATGCATTTAGCTCCTTATAGTTTTATAGTCAGTTCTTAAACACTTTCTTCTATATCCTTCATTACATGTACTTTGGTGGTTTTAAATGATTGCCTTATACATTTGAATAAGAAAGTGCTTTTTGAACCTGAAGACCCAGAAAATATTTGAATATGTGTTAGAATGAAACAGTAACACTGTTAACTCACATACAGACTTGCAATTGCTTTCCAAATATATGTCATTGCAGTAGTTGATTACTCTTACTGCAATATGATCACATTTGACAAAATCAAACCATGCACACGACAGACAGAACTTATCTGATGCATGTTCAATTTCTATACATTTGACTATGTGACAGATTCCCGGCATTTCATATACTAATGTATTCATTTATTTTGTATTGCCTGTCTCTCTTGGGTGATGTGAACCAGAAAAAGAGATGTAAACATCACGCTGTCTATCACTTGTAAATTCATGTTTTGTCCTTTCAATGTGTCTCCACATATTTTCTTGCAGGCTATTCACAGAATAGCAACCAAGAACATACTGTTGGTGCTACCAAGCAGTGATGCACAAGCAAAGTTTATACCAGACTTTGTGTGAAAAATAGCATCAATCTCCACCATTGTCCAACTTGCATGGATGTAAAGGTTCTGTGTTGATTAGCTAGGCAGTAAAATATTTAAATCTTCAAACCTCAAACCCATGATTCTTGTCTTCTCTTATCTAAAGAAATACATCAAGTAATGGAAGTCTGAACTGTGAAAGTGAACTTTGGGCCAACCGCTGTCCTTGGTAGGTTCTTATGTTGAATAGTGTTAAATATTTACAAAGATTTGCTTTTTTATTTTTGCTGTGGATAAGCTGATAACACAATTGAGAAAAAACGTGTCTTGCGGTAAAAAGTGTATGGTTTAGTAGTAGATTACTTTTTTACTCAAGACTTTTGATGACTTTGCTTTTAATATATAATTATTGCTAAAGGATCTGCTGGAGAGATATTGCAGTGCAAGCTCCAACAAACTTCTATATCTTATAATCTTTTACCCAGGTTTACAAATAAGGTGCCACATATCTAACAGTGGTTTTCTTCTTCCGCCTTTATACCCCAGATGTGTCCCTATATGGGAAGATCACATCAGATTCCCATTAAACCTGAGGGAGACATGTAAGCTTGAACCTTGTCTGGAGCGTTGATTGTCAATCTAACATTTTTGAAGGGATATTTCAATCTGGAACAAGTGGACCAGCTGAGTAGCTGACTGTGGTTAAAAAAACAATCTGTGGTTATTATCTGGTGGTGAGCTCAATTCCTGAGTTGTTAAATTATTTCAGGATAACAACCGTCAGATATTAGAATTCCATTTCCTACAGTACCTCGTTCTACTTTACACAGACACAGAAATATTTCTGAAATGTAATTGACTGCCTAGGTGTATGAGAATTGTGAATTTAATCTGTGTATAGCATGTGGTCTTATTTATGCAGGTTGACAATTTCTCCGGAGAATATATGCCAGATAAAGAAATGCCATCTCATTAGAATCTGCAGGAGATCTTCTCAAGCATCTTAACTCAATCGCCAGAACATGGCTTTTTTTAAACTCATTTTCAATGGTTTGGTCTTTAATTCACTCTGCATCAACACAGTTTATTTAAGTTTGATTTTCTTTAATTTCAATGCTAATAGAATAAATGCTCTGATACAGGACTGTAATCACTAGCTTCTCAAGATTACAAACCCCCGCTTTAAGGCAAGAGTGTATTGTACATTTTCTGAAATGTGATGTTGAAATGGGCAAATTAGGCAATGTCTTGTTAAATATGTGCTATAATGTTTACAGAATAGAAAGCTGATTATTTGATAAAGCCTGGTTTAAAATGCTTGTTACTTTTGTTGACCTATTAGAGGCAACGGTTTTTACAGAAGGAATGTAAGATATAGACCTCATGAAAGACGAAGACCTCATGAAAGACGACACAGGAAGTGAGGATACCCGGCCCGGAGGAAGCCCGGGGTCCCCTTCTGGAGCCAGGCCCAGAAGGAGGACTCGTCGGCGAGCGTCTGGTGTCCGGGCTTGCCACGGAGCTCGGCCGGGCACAGCCCGAAAAGGCAACGTGGGCAACACCTCCGCTTCTCCGTCCCGTGGGCCCACCACCTACTGTACGGGAAACAGCGATGGGGTCGGATGCGCTGCCAGAAGGGTGGCAGTGAAAGCAGAGGGTCTCGACGGACCAGACCCGGGCGACAGAAGCTGGCTTTGGGGACGTGGAACGTCACTTCTCTGGGGGGGAAGGAGCCGGAGCTTGTGCGGGAGCTGGAGCGTTACCAGTTGGATCTGGTTGGGCACAGCGTCGGCTCTGGAACCTTACTTCTGGATAGGGGTTGGACTCTATTCTTCTCCGGAGTTGCTCAAGGTGTGAGGCGCCGGGCGGGTGTTGGGATACTCACAAGTCCCCGGTTGAGTGCTTCGTTGTTGGAGTTTTCAAAAAGGGGGATCAGAGGGTGTGTGCCAATTACAGAGGCATCATACTACTCAGCCTCCCCGGGAAAGTTTACTCTAAGGTACTCGAAAGGAGGGTCAGGCCGATTGTCGAACCTCAGATTGAGGAGGAACAATGTGGATTCCGTCCTGGTCGTGGAACGACGGATTAGCTTTTTACTGGATCCTGAGTGAACACTTTAATGTGAGGAAATAGTGTGTCGAAGACAAATGGCATTTGAATTTTAAAGATGCTTCACCACTCTTCCATCACATTTCAGTAATGCTGAGTGCAAAAAATCAGGTCAAAACACATTAAGCAACACTACAAATCGTTGCAATACATGAAAGCTGACGGTTAGCAATTTATAGGAAATGAACGGGTCTCAGGTACTTAGGGTTATTATACACAATTAAATATAATCTTTCGATTGAGTATTGTTATCAGCAAAGCAGGCAGCTTTTAACTAGGATATTTCACGCTCCAATAAAATGTTGTAGCATGGAGAAAATTCCAAACAATTCCTAAAACGTGTAGCTGCAGTGATAATGATTAACAACTACTTCTCAATTATCAGAATGCTGTGCCAGGCCTTCTACTGATGCACCTTAATCATTCATACTAGTTATTTAATTGAGTGAGCTTACTTTGATCATTAAACATAAGCTTATACAAGTCATAAAAGGCTGTTATATGGGTTTTTGTGGCAATGTTCTTTTTAGTGTAGGGTTAGGGTTAGTATAACCATGTACATACCTCCATGTTTGCTTAGAATACAGTGTAGTGTTTTTGAGTAAGGAAAGGACTTTTATTTCGAAGTGTGATGTTGTCACAAGCTTTAAACACTTGTATTTTTACTTACTGGGGTCATTAAACATAGGCTAATTCTGGTAATAGACAGCACTGATTCTTCTAAGTTTTGACTGTTACCATTTGTTTATGAAGAATTTGAATGGGATTGGGCAAGGGCTAGGGTTAGGATTAGTACAATCATGTAAATACCTCAACCTTTTCTTTTGAATGAAAAAGGGAGATTTGTTCAAATTGTAATGTTTTCACAAGCTTTTTAAACTAGTATTTGAATGTATGCTTACTGTGGTCATAATCATAAGCCAATACAAGTTGTATTACTTTTTTGACAGTTACCCTTTGTTTATGTTTTAAGTATTGGATATGCAAGGGTAGGTTTAGTATTACCATGTACATACCTCAATCTTTGCTGTATTCCTTAAATTAGACATGCATAAACAAAACGGCCCCAAATGTAGGATCAGTTACATACACAAAGCATGGATAACAACAAAGCTCTTACCCCAATGGCTGTGAGGATGGGAACCTGGTAGATCCACTTAATATGACCAGCGCTGAACTCCCAACACCTGCAAATGATACAGTTACAGAGGAGAGGAGAAGAGAAGGTAGGATATAGTAGGAAAAATAAGAGACGGAAGAACAAAGGACATGCCATACTGGAGGAGCAGAGAAAAAGCAGACAGGCTGAGCAGTGAAATAGTACTAAATAAATAGTAGCAGAGAAGAGGACACAAACAGTGGCAGAAATAGATGGAAATTGAAGATGGGGATCAAAAAACAGGAGTGCCCTTACATAATGGTAAAGAAGACAAATACTGAATGGCAAATGCAAAAGGGATCAGAAAAACATAAATAACGGTAACATTGTATGTTTTGCAGCTAATTGTTGAGGTTCCTGGAAATGTTTTCGTTCTCCCTTTTCATCTTATTTTCCTTTGTTTTCCATAATGAATGTTCATTTTATTTCCCTTTCCATTTATAATTGAACCTTTTATGTGAGTCTTACTGTATATGTACTCTAAGCATTATGGCTTCTTATAATTGCTGTTGCCTCTGTAGTAGAGTAAACATGCTATACCTTTTTCTTTTTTTATCCTTTCTTTATTTAAAATTATTATAAACATTATATCAAATGTGCTTTGCTATAATGTGTTTTACCCTGGCATTCTCTCCATATGCGAACGCGCATCATCACACAAACATATAGCTTCCCACATTGCATCTCTTGCAGGGGATTATGCAAATACAATTATACAGTTGTGCAAATATGTATTGAGCTGAATCCAAGAGTGTGTACTTTGCATGTTGAGCAAACATGGTCTCTAGACATACATTCCCAAGGTCTTGAAGGGGAAATGATAGGAAAGTACAGTTGCAGTGCGTCAAACAGAGAATTGGAAGAGTGAAACAATGTCAACTTTGACTGTTCTTCTATGAAAGGCTAAAAAAAACACATTAAAGACAATTAATCTGTTATTTTGTAACTGCTTTTTTGCTTTTCCATATATACACACAATCATAAGCGTTTCAAAATCAAATGTCCTTTCTTTTTTTAAATGTACTTGTTTGTTGTTGTTTTTATTATATATGTTTTTATCTTGGTTTCTCTATAACATTTTAATATTTTAGACAGATGCTTCATACAAGCCCAGTGGGTTCTTTTGGGGTATTTTTGCACTGAATATTAATTTTGTTATCTGTCATTTTTAAATCATGCAAAACAATAACATAAGAACCATAATAAATAACTTCACCAATGTATTTAGTGGGAATGCTGATACAGCATTCCCACTAAATACGCACGAAATTCTTTATTATTCCGCCGGGTTATTTTGGCTAACTGTTCCTTCATTCTTTCACTCAGAAACCTCATTCCAACTTTACAATGTTACACATCTTTCTGATATTATTCATATTAAACAACTTTTAAATCAGACTCATACTTTTAGAGATATTAAACATTGTTCAGACCTTGGTAAAGAGGCCTTCTTCAGATTTTAACATTAGTGTGTATTGCGCAGCTCGTTAAGGCTAGACTGCGTGATGTCACAGCTAGAGTGGAGGACAGCTTGAAATTCGCCTTCATATATTTTTTTAAACCTGCCATAATTCCCAAACCCTACACACCTGAGACATAATCTTTCATGAGAAACGTAGTAAAACATCTCGTAGCTTGAAAAATGAAAATAAATTAGAAACCTTTGATCTCTGGACACCTCGTTAGCTCAAATATAAAAACCTGTGTCATGGAACACGATGTCATAACTCCAACTGACATGCTCAGAGCAGCAGACTTCCGATTACATTACATGTTACTTGTTAGACGCTTTTATCCAAAGCGACTTACATACTCAATACTGTGGACAATCCCCACAGGAGCAATTTGGGGTGAAGTGTCTTGCCCAGGGACACAATGACATGCTGACTGCAGTGGGACTCGAACTTTCTACCCCCTGATTCGAAGTCAAGCACACTATCCACTGAGCCACAGCCTCCCAACCCCTCAGATAATGGTTAATGGTCTAGCCTTCAACATGTATATGTGCCATTCGTGAGTTTTCCTCAAAAGCTGTTGCAACGCATCCCTCGCCATAAAAGACAATGTCGCTATAACTACTATGAAAATGTTCAAAAAGTGCTCAAACTTCACATGTGTGCTAACAGTCCAGCCGTGAAGACATTTATTTGACAGTTTTAAGATTTCTTCAAATGCCGTTGCCATCGCAAGCAACACAATGCTCACTATGAAACACGGTTTTCTCACAACTTCAGTTAAAATGCTCGAAATGGCCCAAAACTTCACAGGTTAGGTAACGATGCAGCCATCAACACATCTAAGCGTATTATGGGGTGTCATCAAATGCTGTTGCCATGCCATGGTTAACTGTGACTGTCCCTGATTATTTGGTAATAATTTCCCTTTCCACAATTTGCAAAATGAGTTGATTGGAGAGGTATTGAGACCACCTGCTGTGCACAGTGTAGGGATTGGTTCAAATTAATAATTTAACCAATCCCCTTCAGGCCAATCATGATTTGACAACAGCCTTCCCTCAGGGCTTAAGAGAGTTGGGTAATTACACCCCCTGGCAATTAACTTTTTTTTACTTAATGTCTTCTAAAGACTTAGCTTAAAGTAGCCTTTCCAACAGTTCTCAAGCAAGACAAAGTGGGTGATAATTTTCATATGAATTCAGCTGTCATTGTATTGCTCATGTTCAAGTAAAGTGGCTCATGTAGAGAATCAGAGCAAAAATATTTCTTTCAATATTTGAACAAGAGTGAGTGTAGACCCTTTGCAAAACAGTAAGGGCTGTACAAAGTAAAGGGCACATGGAAAGCACACGATAAGTGAATCCACCTCTCTGAGCCAATTGAATTAAATGGGTTGTTGATTGGTGTTTGCTTCACCCTTCCCCCCCCGTTTAATGAAAAGCTGGCCAGTATCTTTTCCAGAATCCTGCTGACAAATGATATGAATAAACCCACAAACAGAACCCAACTTTGCAGAGATAATTCAACGACAAAAATCTAAAAATACCTACATAATCAAAACATAGATACTGTCAGGGTTGGGGAAAAATAGGACCCAAATGCAGAATGAGGAGGGAAGCAGGTTTCAAAATGAAACAAAAGGCGAGCTTTATTTACAAAAGCTGAAAAAACAAGAATCCATGAACAGGTACTGTAGCACGAGGTAGCATCCAAACAAAAGGTGACTGTGACCAACATGAAGGGAGACATGAACGAAAATGAATGAACCAACACCGAACACAGGAAGAGACAAGACTAAATACAGGGAGGGGTAATCACAAGACGAGAAACAGCCGGGCAGGGAAGGAGAAACACAAGGGCAACAGGTGAACACAATCAGACAATCAGACACACCAGGTAAACTAACGACAGGGAGGAAGACAAGATACAGGGAGAACAGAATTGCAAAATAAAACCATGACAAGACAGACCAAACTAAAACCGTGACATAAAACTAAGATCTTGACAGATGCATATATACAAATTCCCACATGAGGAGGCATTAATACAAAATACAAATCTAAAGGCACAACAGTCAATATACAAAAATAACAGTCACTTATAAACGGATGAAGACGAATATATTAAAGTACACTAGTGCAAATGATTGTCCATAGCAGCGTGTTTAAAGTATGTTTATGTTCCTACTTTTGTGTACATTTGGTCTTTATTAAATTATTCAGTTGGACAAGGCCAAATAAGAGAAATCTTAATGCTTCAGAATACAATGACAACTAAGACAATTGGGGTGTGATAACAGTTTGGGTCATTTCCTTTTTCACATGAATGTACCCTGATGAAAAAAGGGATGTCCATGAAGACATGTTTTTTTTTCATTAGCCTATGCTACAACCGTTCAAGCTTTATGAAAATCTGGCCAGTCGATTTTCCATCATCCTGATGACGAACAGACATACAAACCACAGCCAAACTCTGCAGAGGTAATTTAACTATAGCACATAGTCGTGCACTGCTTGTATAGTTTTATATTTTGTGTTTCAAAATATATGACGAAAATAACGTACAGTACAGTGCTTTAGAACACAATGACAACTAAGACAATTTAGTGTGGTCACAAGTTTGAAAACATACTTTTCTGTTTCAGCATGACAGTGCCCACATGTTTTTCATTGACCTATTCTAGACCCTTCAACCGACTTTAATGAACATCTTGCCACTGCATCTTGAGTACATTTGGTCTGTTTTCAAATTCATTGGTCAGTCTATAGGCTATTGTTGGGTCTGGACCAAGCAGCAAACTCTGGGGAAGAGCCGGGATGCCAATACGGAAGTGCCACACACTGCAGTTCATATATTGGCCGATAGGCGATGACTGCAGAAAGGAGCAATTTCCATAGACCCCCATGTTAAAATGCCCAACTTTACAGCATAAAAAAACGTTTCTACCCATGGATGCAATAAATATTATTATGTATATATTTAGATTCCAGCTTCATGATTATGAATCTGTTAATTAATTGTTTTCTAACACGACCCTTTTATTTATATTAGGTCTTAAAGTTTTTGCATAAATTAGGGCGCGGTCACATTGAGTGACAGCTCTGTCAAGTGACTGCTGCTGCTAGCTTCTTGTCTCTCTGCTAGCAGCTCCGTGATGCTACATGGACTCTGCCTGCTTAGTTCATCCAGGGAACACAAGTTGACCCCGGCCGTGTTTGTTTGTTCTTCATGCTTATATATCGGACTATTGTGACTCGCTCTGCGGTTGAAACAGACGGTGCATGAATGCGGTTTTTGCGGTAAGTGAAATTCGAGTACTTATTGATGTGTTTATGATTTGAATCAGCTACATAATGAATGTTAAGGCTAGGGTTAGCATGTAAGCGTGTGGTAGCTACATCGGTGCTAACAGTGCTAATCGTAGTCTCCTAGTTAAAACCATAGACTGTATATATAAAGGTTAAAACGAAATAGACAAGTGTTAAGCGTTAAGTGGGATAATACTGTGGAACAAACGGCTTCTGTTTGAGGTTGATAAAATAAGGTCATCCTTGTAACTTAGAGAGATATT